CGTTTCAGGTACTGTGGAGCAGTACGAAACAGCGTTGCTATCATTTACAATATCGAACGCATCACTGCACCAGTGGAGCAACCGATCTCTCTACGATTCGTTTCGATAGTAAATTGGTACAACCACAGGCTAAGATCGGATCTATTTGCTTCTAAGCAGCTGCCGAAGGAGAGAAACACTGACTGAGTTATGGTTGCTGATAGTATTTACTACTATTTGGGCTACTTACGATTACCTTTGCCTCTCACAGAGTGGAAATATGATGGGTTTTGACCGCTGACTTTGACTGCACTGACGATTACAATTCGTTTCGATGGTAAACTGGTACTGGCACATGCCTCTGCTCCTTCACTATCAGCTGGTTTCTAAGCTAAGCGCAAGAGAGTGAACCATCGACTGCCTTGCCGGTGGTTGTTAGCTGTCGAATAATCGCTACTATACGGATCTACTTATGAAGGCCTCTATCTGTCATTAAAAACGAATGCAGAGGAATTTTGGCCTTTGGCTTTGAGTTTGTGAATAATTGGTACTGGTGTGTACTATTGGAGTGAAACGCGCCATAACCTTGTTGCTGAGGTGATCTCGAAAGAGGGAACTATCGACGACCCTGCCAGCAAGTTTAGTTATCTATACTCACTAAAATATCTGGGTTAGCTCTGAGGGCCTCTGCTTTTCATATAAAATACTTATAAGTGTTGCCAAATTGGGCCTGCACGTAGCATTTCCAAGCAACTTCGCTGTTCAAATATTCAAATAGTGTTTTTTAGCATTTCAAACAATGTACTTCAAGTAATATTCCAAATAATTTTCAAATCATAACAAAATTTCAAATTTTCGAACAAATTCAAATTTCAAATCAAAAAAAATTCGGATAATAAATAGTTACCTGGATCGACGTCTAACATCGGGAACACATTCAGTGGTGCAGGATGACCATGCGCACCAATCGGTCCAGTGGCATGCGGGAGCTCCGCCAACCACAACTGCTGGAGCGGGTGCTACGACGGCACGAGGTGCTGCTGTCTGCGCTACTTGAACAGGGACGTAGGCAGGACCATAACTTGGCACACTTGGGACGTAGACAGCAGCAGGGGCGCAGTCTGTTACACAAGGAACAGCGACGGATGGTGCTGCTGAGATAGGAACGAGTACCTGGCCAGGAGCCACTACTGGGGCAGGAACGAGTGTTGGGGCAGGTACCAATGGTTGCTCAGGAACCGGTGGTGCAGGTGCAGGTTGCATAACAACTGTGGGAGGTCTGCCGGGCTCCGCTGGGATGTATTTGATGGTAACAGGTGGTCGCGAAACAAGTTGCGGTTCTGGCTCTGGTGGTTGTGGACCCC